AGAATAATATAGAGACAGAAATGGCCATTTAGTTCTGTAAGAAATCAGACGTATACTCATATAGATAAAAAAAGACACCCCCCCCCCCAACAAAACAGTGAGAAATAAGCAGTTCAAGGTGGGGGCCCTCCAACTGCACGATCATAGTTAAATTGGACGTTAAAATTTGCCCCTTTCATACGCAAGGAAATCCTTTTCCAAAAGGATGAGGGTGGGACACTTTAACAGTATTCACGTTGTCGGCACCTAAGTCATGTATCTTGCCAACTTATCAAGTGAAGCCTTCACAGGGTGCCATCCAACCTCGTTTTGTCTAGAGCTGTACAGTAAACAGCCCCCCCCCCTCCCCCCAAACACAAGCCTGAAGACAGGACAACACAAATAAATAGTACTCTGACCTCATTACTTCAGGAAAAGAGAAGTCGGGTGTGATAATTAGCGAGAAATCGAGGCTTGGGTTGGATCGATACACAACCGCCTTGGACTTCCAGCTTGTTTCCCCCTCCCCCTCCCATTTCCCCCGCCAAACCATGAATGAGCGCAAAACTCCTTCTGGTTTTAAGTACAGATACAGATATACAAGGATATTTCAAGCAGGAGAAGAATACCTGACAAAAGGACAATATAACTCGTCTTTCCGTCTACCGCATTTAGAGATAAAAGGCGTACATGTAGGCTTGTCAATTTTTTTACAGCCAGCGCCGACTATAGCCACTTAAGAGGCTAAAATTATCCTAGTGCCTTCTTACATAATGTGTTTTCAAATACCAGTCCTGTTACTACCTCGGTGATCCCCACAGCCTACCAAAGTTACCAAATTGCCCACAACTGAACCATGTTGCCCAGATTGGCAAGTACTGAAGTACAGTTTTCACATACAATGCTAGCACAGGATAGCACGAAATAAAAAAGGAAAGGAAGAGGAGAGTGGTGAGACTTGAGCATTCACATAATTTCTCAAAGCTGAATACAAAAGTTCAATCGGAAAAGGGGCTTAAAAAGTAGGACTTTAAAAGGATGAAGAAGATGAAAGAAAACAAAATGTTTTGGCTGAAACTGACTGATCAGGATCGGAGGCGCGTAGGATATATAGTAGGTGCTGCCCTGTCGACAGCTCCACCAACAGGATAGACGTGGCAAATGCATTGGCCTAAAATCATCAACTTTCTTCAGACCTCAGACACATGACAGCATTGGCACAAAAGACATTATTTCGTTATAATAACAATAACGATAAAGATATAAACAACGTCAGTGATATTATTGATAACTGTGTTAATAATAATAAAATGTTAAAATACACAATAAGAAAAACGATTGACGTGGTGGTGGTGGTGGTGGTGGTGGTGGTGATGGTGGTGCCGCTGCTGCTGAGGATGATGATGATGATGACAATAATAAGGGATGATGGCGATGATAATGATGATAACAATAATAACAATAACAATAACAATATAATAATTGATACTAATTATATTAACCTAAAACTCGGAAACCAAATAATATAAAAACTTTCGGATAAAACTAAAACAAAATGCAATCTAACTTCTCCGTAATCCTTTCGTTTACAATAATAGATATTTGTTTTGTTATTTTCTGCCTATTTCCCCCCAATAGAATAACATAGAAATCGGGTCCATAATTCCTTTGACCGGGATGACACGCTAAAATAGAGATTATAATAAAAGTTCCGGAAAACCCCAGAGGTTGGCACCTCGAGGAATGTAACCTTTTTCTGTTTTTTATCATGCGCATGATTGGAGAGTCGACGAAAAAGTTTTGACATTTATTCTCATGTCACCCCCCAAAAATTATTTACAGCAAAGTGTCAAATGATTAAGGTATTTTCATTGTTTGTACCGTTAGAAGACTGGTCTGGCAATAATAATGGCAATGGCAATCTTCCCCTTTCCACTACAGTCCATGTTTGTCAGAGAGGTCACGTGAACAAGGAGACATATTTCTCCTTTCTTAAAAAAAAACCGCTTTTCTCTGTTAAAAATTCTGTTACCCCACCCACCTATTTACTAAAAATAACAGAAACAGGAGAAAAGGAAAGAAAAAATAAAAAGCTCAATTGACAGAAATGGGTTGAATAGCAGCTGGAACAGTTACTCAGGTAAGTGATTTTCCTCGCGAAGTAAGGCGGCATGCCCTTGGTGTGTTCCGTTCCCCGGCTGAGGCCGCCTGCTAAATATAATATTGTGCAACAATCGCCGATAGTGAGAAGTTTGGATAGGAAAGGAATGCTGCTCCCGGGTGGAATAATTGAGGCAGAGAGAGAGAGAAAGGGCGAAACAGGGTGGGGGTTGTAAGGAAAGGAAGGGGGCGGGTACTGGTTGTTGAGGGATATATAGATAGATAGATAGATAGATAGATAGATAGATAGATAGATAGATAGATAGATAGATAGTTAGATAGATAGATAGATAGATAGATAGATAGATAGATCCATCCCTAGATAGGTAGATAGATAGATAGATCAAAACGAGAGAGAGAGAGAGAGAGAGAGAGAGAGAGAGAGACAGAGAGAGACAGAGAGACAGAGAGAGACAGAGAGAGACAGAGAGGAGAGAGACAGAGAGGCAGAGAGAGAGAGAGAGAGAGAGAGAGAGAGAGAGAGAGAGAGAGAGAGAGAGAGAGAGAGAGAGGGGGGGGGGGGACCATGTGTTTAACCGGTGCATGTTCTTTTCTTTTAGGCCACAGGTTTCGTTGTTCTTTGCAAGTGATATTTTTTCTATGTCTGAGCACTCAACATAATAATTTAATTTGAATTAGACACGCTTCTTTCGTTAGATTTAAGTGATCCGTTGTAAAGGGCTTGCCGGAACATATGGGTTCAATTAATGTCTTGTTCTAATAAATATTATAGATCATCCACTCCCATCTGTCTGACCCTGTTTCAATGGTTAAAGGCCAATCTTTTACCAGTTAATGTCAGAGTGCTTAGTTTTAGTTTTATCAACAGTTTTACGGCACTTGTAACACAATAAGGTCAACCAAGTGCCGAAGATTAGATTTGTTACAAGAGAGTAACAAACACAAAAACAGGAGAAGAGATAATGACGTTAGATGTTAGATAGGAAAGAAGGAGCAAACCACATGTAGATACATCAAAATGATCTTCAGTGTGCAATTCAGACTAGATATTAAAACCCAACCCCAAGGACAACTATCATAATTACACATGATTTAATCAGGAAAGTTCAGTGTCCCTGGCTTTGACATGGTGAGGCCAGGGGATGAGGATCAAACAAGTAATGCTGTTTTTCTCTTCTTCAGAAAACCAATATAACTTTCGTCGAATAAGTTTAGTTTCGGTTAGGCTTTTACGGCACTTGCAACACAAACAGGTCAAATAAGTGCAGAAGATTAGAGGTGTTACAAGAGAGTATCAATCAAAAAAGGAGGAGAGAAACGAACGTTACATGTTTGATAGTAGGAAAGAAGAAGCAAACTAAACTAGAGCACCCGCCAACCACCAACTTTGTCGATTAAGTAAACTGTCGATTCGATACGCGCTCCACATGGCTCCCGAGCTAGGGGAAATCAGTGCATTATCCATGACCACAGTTTTATTTTGGAGTATGTTTATTTGAATAACCGTGAAGCACAACAACTCAATCACAGTGGCGCAGTGGTGGGACAAAGGCATCAGAGGCAGACGGAAACAATAGAGAGGGAGATAGAGAGTGTTGGAACTAACGGCGGCGCTGCGTCCACCCGCTCTGTCTCTTTTGGTGATGGTACAATGCTTCACACATAAATATAATACACACACACACACACACACACACACACACACACACACA